GGGGGGGGGGGTTATGACGTCACCGCGGGCGGAGGAGGGTATGACGTCAGCGGGGGGGATTGCGTCACCGCGGCGGGGGGGTTATGACATCACCGCGGAGGAGTTATCAGCGGTTGGTAATTTTGGGGGGCATACCGATGTTACCGACGGTCGGTAATTTTTTACCGATATTATATAACATTTAATTACATAATTTTTACCAACATATAATTTTTACCAACATATAATTTTTACCAACATATAATTTTTACCAACATATAATTTTTACCAACATATAATTTTTACCAACATATAATTTTTACCAACATATAATTTTTACCAACATATAATTTTTACCAACATATAATTTTTACCAACATATAATTTTTACCAACATATAATTTTTACCAACATATAATTTTTACCAACATATAATTTTTACCAACATATAATTTTTACCAACATATAATTTTTACCAACATATAATTTTTACCAACATATAATTTTTACCAACATATAATTTTTACCAACATATAATTTTTACCAACATATAATTTTTACCAACATATAATTTTTACCAACATATAATTTTTACCAACATATAATTTTTACCAACATATAATTTTTACCAACATATAATTTTTACCAACATATAATTTTTACCAACATATAATTTTTACCAACATATAATTTTTACCAACATATAATTTTTACCAACATATAATTTTTACCAACATATAATTTTTACCAACATATAATTTTTACCAACATATAATTTTTACCAACATATAATTTTTATTAACATGTAATTTTTACCAACATATAATTACACAATACCGATAATACCGACGATTGGTAATTTATTACCGATATTATATACCAACATTTAATTACTTAATTTTTTACCAATATATATTTACATAATTTTTACTAGCATATTTACATAATACCAACGATCGGTAATTTATTATCGATATTACATACCAACGTTTAATTACTTAATTTTTACCAACATATATATATATATATACATAATTTTTACTGTTATATTTACATAATACCGATGATCGGTAATTACCGATATTATATAATTTTTTTTATCTGCTTTCGATAGATCATTTTACCGATCTGCGACGGATTTTTCGCGGCGGTTTTCACGGCCATTTTTTCGCGGTGGTTTTTGCGGCGGTTTTGCGGCAGCCCGCGCCGCATGCGCCGCCCGCACCGCCCGCGTTGCCCGCGCCGCCCACGCCGCTCGCGTATTTCGCAGTGTGATTTTTTTTAGTCACAGCTGCAAACTCTAATATTTTGCAAACGTATGCATTCGACAATTAGATGTGCAAGAAGAAGAATGTGACACATGATATTCTTATTACTAATGAGCACGTACACTGTGTTCCCGTGACAAGATTTTGCAAGCGTTTGCGTGTTATGTATTATGGACAATATTTTATGTAAAGAACGGTAAAAACAGTAAAGAACGGTAAAAATCAGTAATGAAACGGTAAAAAACGGTAATACAGAACGGTAATGAAACGATAAAAACGGTAAAGAAACGGCAAAGAACGGTAAGGAAATGATAAAGAAACGGTAATGAAACGGTAAAAAACGGTAATACAGAACGGTAATGAAACGATAAAAACGGTAAAGAAACGGCAAAGAACGGTAAGGAAATGATAAAGAAACGGTAATGAAACGGTAAAAAACGGTAAGGAAACGGTAAAGAAACGATAAAGAACGGTAATGAAACGGTAAAAAACGGTAAAAACGGTAATACAGAACGGTAATGAAACGATAAAAACGGTAAAGAAACGGCAAAGAACGGTAAGGAAATGATAAAGAAACGGTAATGAAACGGTAAAAAACGGTAAAAACGGTAATACAGAACGGTAATGAAACGATAAAAACGGTAAAGAAACGGCAAAGAACGGTAATGAAACGGTAAAAAAACGGTAATAGAACGGTAAAGAACGGTAAAAAAACGGTAAAGAACGGTAAAGAACGTTAAAAAACGGTAATGAACGGGAATGAAACAGTAAAGAACGGTAATGAAACGGGAATGAAACAGTAAAGAAACGGTAATGAAACGGTAAAATCGGTAAAAAACGGGAATAAAACGGTAAAAACGATAAAAATGGTAAATAACGGGAATGAAACAGTAAAGAACGGTAAAGAACAGTAAAGAAACGGTAATGAAACGATAACGGTTACCAAAAATCGTAAAAACGGTGACCGAAACGGTGTATTCCAATATTTATATCAATGGTACAGTTCATAAGTATTCATGTAAGATCTCTAATGCATCACAATGTAGTATTTTTGTGCTGACACATCAATTTGCGGTCAATAGTAAGATTTCTGTTTTTCTCTCTCTTATGCATTACAATGTAGCATTTTAGTGCTGTCGCATCGATTTGTGGTTGACAGTAAGATGCGCAGAAAAATGTGATACCAGATACTATCATGAAGATCATAGTGGTATGCATATTTTGCACGTTGTGAAACATATAAAATCATGAGTATTACATCAGCGCATAGTTCAATCGAGACCCAAGCAGCAACAAATACGGGACACAAGCAACAAATTGAACGGCTAAAATGGAGGAAAAATCAAGAAAAATATCGATGGTGCAGTTTTTGCGTGACAAAGAACTCGGTTTGCGGGGAATAAACAAACGCGGTGTAAAGGAAAATGTTAAAGTTCTCAGGTTTTACTCTCAAAAGTGTTGGCCCCGTGACTTAGTGCAGGAGCACATCAATCAGATAGTGGAAGATGTACGTAGGATCACGACTGAGAATGCAAGTGAAATAAACACTAAATTGAATGAGCTTATAATGCATCCAGACATCAGAGTGCTGAATAACTTTAACCTTAAAAATTTCTATATAAAAATTCCGGCAGGTAGTGGCAAGTTTACACGTATAGTGTTGTTTCATGACATACATTTATATGATGATTTGTGGAATACTGATATGCCAATTTTGATGATAGAGCGACACGATAAACGCGAACTTTGTATGTGCTATCGAGACAGTTTACAGTAGCCAAAAATAGATGAAATCAGTTGGGACGATGAATGTAATGAATCTATGCTTTACACTGATGAAATACGGCGATGTCAACGGTGTCCGTATAGTGAATCGGATCTGATCTACATGTTCGCATATTAATTGACTGATTGAACGATAAATTGAGAAATCCTCAGTGCAATCTTAAGCATCACAATGCAATATTTTTTGTGCTGATACATCAATGTGTGGATGCGGTTGACTGCATGTGCGACATATGATGTTACTATTAAGGAGCACGTTAGGCTGTGCTGATTTTGCACATTTGTTAGAGCAACCCTCTCCTAACGAGATACCCAGGAGTCACCGACAAATAGTCCAAGTCCAAGTCGACGAGAGAGAGAAAGAATCAAGAAAAATGTTGTACAATACGAAATTTCGTAGACCCTTATATGAGGAGGAAGAGGAGATTTTATTACAACAAAGCCCCCCACGTAAGTTTTTAATAGATTGTATAATTTTGATTTTTATATTTTTTAAAATAATAATTAATCCAATTTTAGCTACCGATGAATGGGAGTAGGAGCAGGAGGAGGTAGAGGAGGAGGAGGTGGAGATGGAGGTTGATAAAGAGGAGGAGGAGAATGAAAATGAGGAACAGCCGACCGATAATAGTAAGAGAGCACACAATATTTATTGAAATAATTTCACATAAAATTTTTAATTTTTTCTGTGTATATGAAACAATTAAAATTAATCTTCAAATTTGATTTCAGAAGAAAATACCATCGAATTAATTGATGTTAGCAGCGGAGAGGAAGATGATGATGATGATGTGGATACCGAGGAAAGAGAGGAGGAGGAGGAGATGGAGGCTGATAAGAGAGAGCAGGAGCATGAAAATGAGGAACAGCCGACCGATAATAGTAAGAGAGCACACAATATTTATTGAAATAATTTCACATAAAATTTTTAATTTTTTCTGTGTATATGAAACAATTAAAATTAATCTTCAAATTTGATTTCAGAAGAAAATACCATCGAATTAATTGATGTTAGCAGCGGAGAGGAAGATGATGATGATGATGTGGATACCGAGGAAAGAGAGGAGGAGGAGGAGATGGAGGCTGATAAGAGAGAGCAGGAGCATGAAAATGAGGAACAGCCGACCGATAATAGTAAGAGAGCACACAATATTTATTGAAATAATTTCACATAAAATTTTTAATTTTTTCTGTGTATATGAAACAATTAAAATTAATCTTCAAATTTGATTTCAGAAGAAAATACCATCGAATTAATTGATGTTAGCAGCGGAGAGGAAGATGATGATGATGATGTGGATACCGAGGAAAGAGAGGAGGAGGAGGAGATGGAGGCTGATAAGAGAGAGCAGGAGCATGAAAATGAGGAACAGCCGACCGATAATAGTAAGAGAGCACACAATATTTATTGAAATAATTTCACATAAAATTTTTAATTTTTTCTGTGTATATGAAACAATTAAAATTAATCTTCAAATTTGATTTCAGAAGAAAATACCATCGAATTAATTGATGTTAGCAGCGGAGAGGAAGATGATGATGATGATGTGGATACCGAGGAAAGAGAGGAGGAGGAGGAGATGGAGGCTGATAAGAGAGAGCAGGAGC